GATTGCGGCACGTGATGAAATCATTTTGTCGTTTTTCGTGTTTTCGCATCGTTTTTGCACTCGATCGTTTCGTCACGTCGTCTTTTTTGTTAGCGATTCTGTGTGATGGAGGAGGGAGGGTGTGTGAGGGAGGAGGGAGGGCGTGTGAGGGAGGAGGGAGGGGTGTGTGAGGGGAGGAGGGATAGTGTGTGAGGGGAGGAGGGAGGGTGTGTGAGGGAGGAGGGAGGATGTGTGAGGGAGGAGGGAGGGTGTGTGAGGGAGGAGGGTCAGTGTGTGAGGGAGGAGGGGGGTGTGTGAGGGGAGGAGGGAGGGTGTGTGAGGGAGGAGGGTCAGTGTGTGAGGGAGGAGGGAGGGTGTGTGAGGGGAGGAGGGAGGGTGTGTGAGAGGAGGATGGAGGGTGTGTGAGGGGAGGAGGGAGGGTGTGTGAGAGGAGGATGGAGGGTGTGTGAGGGGAGGAGGGAGGGTGTGTGAGGGAGGAGGGAGGGTGTGTGAGGGGAGGTGGTCAGTGCATGAGGGAGAAGGTGGATTAGATGGACACCCAAATTGCTCAATCTATTGCCGTTCGCTATCTTTTGGATGTAAAGTCAGCCTGTATCGTCCATGTGGGAGCCAGTCTACCGGACCGTGGATGCAGCAAAAATAGCGAACAGCTGATAAATGATTACTATTTGTAACTGATGGTGACTCGACTGTTTAGAATGCTGGATATATATCACAGTAAATGACGTGATTGCGGCACGTGATGAAATCATTTTGTCGTGTTTCGTGTTTTCGCATCGTTTTTGCACTCGATCGTTTCGTCACGTCGCCTTTTTTGTTAGCGATTCAGGCCCATAACCCAGTAAAATTACTATACGTGCATGGTGGAAGGATGACGGGTTTTTGCAGTGTTTCACGATGACTTCTTCGTAGAGGAATTCTACTCAAACATACCCTAGTGCAGTGGCTCTGCAGTGGGTTTTCACTGATCTTTAACTATCTCTTAACTCATCTAGATACTCAATCTCTTCGCCACCAAGGACCTGTTTTATATAAATTTAATTTCACATGGACCCCAGCTTTTCGAAATGTCTGTCTACTCAACTAGCCGATTTTATTACCTAACAGCAACCCCGTTTTCGCAGGCGATTTTTATAGCTAAAACATAAACTCCGCACAACCAATGTTGCCATACTGAGTTGATAATGTTACAGCTAAGAACAACAAACATAAAATTTTGAAAGTTTTTCTTTAGCAGCCTTATCGTGAGTAAATTATACATTTTACGCTGGAGCCGCTTGACATTTTGAACTTAGCTCACGGACCTCCAGTGCTACTTTGCGGACCCCTAGGGGTGCAGGGACACCAGGTTAGGAACCACTGATATATACTATATTATTTGGACGCTCCTGTTGATATCTACGAATGCAATGCACCCCTTATTTCGGTGCCGCCCAATGGCATTAGGAAAGTGTATGTTAAATATTGGCATTCTAGCGACATCTAGTGTGAAAATAATTATAAGTGCATATATGTGGAATTAACCAGTTCAGCCATTTTTGGCGCACTTGCAAGGCAGGTAAATACTCCTGAATCCAGCGCCTCCAAAATACATTTGCCAGGTACTGCACCTGTCTCCAGCGCCGACGATATAGATCTTTACTTTCAAACTGTCCAGGAGGTAAAGAAGGTCCTGAGCGAAGCATCAACAGGTGACTTGGCGTGAGGGGTTTGTCATCTCTAGGATCATCTGATAGCTTAGTGATGGGTCTGTTGTTTACGATGCCTTCCACTACAGTCAGTAAGGTTACAAGACCTTCATCATCAAGAATTTGTTGTTTCATGACTCCTGTCAACACGGAGCGTACAGTGCGAATGAGCCTTTCCCAGACTCCTCCCATATGGGAGGCTCCAGGGGGATTGTAGATCCAGCTAATTTCATGCTTCAGAAGATACTCATGTATCTGATCTTGGTTCCATTGCTGTATGGCCCTACGGAGTTCTGCTTGTGCGCCAACAAAGTTGGTTCCATTGTCCGAACGAATTTCCTTTGGCTCACCTCTTCTTGCTATGAATCTTTCTAGTGCATTGATGAAACTGTCTGTGTCTAGTGAGTGAGCGACCTCAATGTGCACAGCTCTGATTGACAAACAGGTAAATATGCAACCGTATCGTTTTACTTCCGACCTCCCTCTCTTGACACTGAATGGGCCAAAGTAATCTACTCCTACCCATGTGAATGGTGGTTCGTGGGGTGTTACTCTCGCCTTAGGGAGGTCTGCCATGAGCTGTACCTCTGTTTTACCTCGGGACTTCTTACATGCAATGCAGTGGGAAAGAACACTCTTGACAAGCTTTCTCCCTTTTAGTATCCAATACCGACGACGAGTTTCCGCTAGCACACGTTCCACACCAGCATGACCGGTGCGGATGTGGCAATCCTCGATGATTAGTCGTGATATTTGGTGTGTATAAGGCAAGATCAGTTGGTGCTTCGAGACATGACATAGTTCTGACCGGGTAAGCCTGCCCCCTACCCGTAGTAATCCTGTGGCAGACTTTACGGGCCTCAACTTACTCATCTGAGATTTCGAGTCCGCATCCAGTAGAGTGCTTTGTACATATTTGATTATGGCTAATTCCGAGCCTTGCAACTCTTCAGGCTTAATTCGTCCGGTAGCTGGTGGTTTCCCTTGTAGTATTTGTTTAAGCCGAAGTACCCAAGATACCGCTTTCTTCAACTTGAACCAGGAGGAGTAGTACTTCAAGAGGGTGTTGGTCGAGTCTGGCGCAATCTTGGCAGAATTTACCATAGGGGTCTTCTTCAATTCAGCAGCCTGCGCTAGCTCAGCACATTTGAATGCTGGCTGGTTCGGCCAGTGTGTCTCATCCATCTGCAGGAAATCTGGTCCTTTTGTCCAGCGTTTATTTTCAACCAGGTCTTGTGCAGTCATTCCACGGGAGGCATCATCTCCGGGATTTTGAGCTGTGGGAACGTGTCTCCATTGTATAGGTTTGGTGTGATCCAGTATCTTTGCCACCCTATTGGCAACATATGTCTGGAATCGCTTCCCTTCATTTTGCAGGTACCAAAGAACAATGGTGCTGTCTGTCCAAAAGACGGACTCTTCAAGTGCAAACTCTAGCTCCTGATGAACGAGCTTGTCTAATTTCATGGCTTCCATGGCACCGGCGAGTTCAAGACGAGGTATCGTGGAGCCCTTCAACGGCGCAAGACGTGCCTTGGCCATTACAATGTTGACATGAATTTCATCATCTTCACTGACCAAACGAAGATAAGAGACGGCTCCGTAAGCACATTCTGACGCATCAGAAAAGTGGTGCAGTTGGGCTGTCCTTACAGTCTTTCCTGCTGGTTTTACACATCTGGGAATTTTAAAACCCATTACAGCTGGTAGCTGGGCCAGCCACCGGCCCCACTGGTCTTCCAGGTCTCTAGGCAATGGGTCATCCCAACCTTTCTGCAGTCGACATAAGTGTTGAAACAACATCCTTGCCTTCAGCACGAAGGGGCTGACATATCCCAATGGATCAAATATGGTGCTGAGAGTGCTAAGCACACCTCTCTTAGTCACAGGCTTGTTCTCAATTTGTACATTGAATCCAAAGCAGTCAGGTTCAATATGCCATAACATTCCAAGTGCCCTTTCGGTAGGTGCTTTCTCGAAGCTGACATCTTGCGTGACCAAGGCCTTTCCCCAATCCTCCTTAGTTATAGTCTGCATCAGCTCTGATGAGTTCGAAATCCACTTCGTAAGGTGGAAACCTCTCTTGGCTAGTAGATCCTTGACTTCCCTTGCAAGTGTTATAGCAACATCCAAGTCATCCACAGACTTCAGACAATCGTCCACATAGAAATTCTTCAGTATGGTGTCGAGCGTCATCGCGTGGTATATCTCGTTGTGGTCCTGCACTATCATTCTGAGGGCATAATTTGCACAGCTTGGACTCCATACACCTCCAAACAAGTGCGAGGTCATTCTAAGAGCAGTGCTTCTCCCTTTAGTGTCATCATTTTCCCACCAGAGGAAACGTAAGACATCTCGGTCCTTTGGTGTCACCTTGACCTGGTGGAACATTCCCTCTATGTCAGCCATAAAAGCAATAGGACCTTGTCTAAAGCGCAGCAACACTCCTATTAGTCTATTGGCTAGGTCAGGCCCTTGATGTACTATGTCATTTAGTGATGTCCCATTGTGCCTCGCAGCACAGTCAAAGACGATTCGGCACTTGTCAGGTTTCTTTGGGTTCAGAATAGGATGGTGTGGCAAGTACCAGACCTTGCCATCACCTCGGTGCATATCTTCCTGTGGGACTGGTTCGGCATAACCCCTTTTCAACAGCTGGTTCATTTCAAAAACATATTTAGTTTTCAAGACATTGTCTCTGTCGAGGCGCTTTCCCAGCGAATGAAGCCGACGTTCAGCCATTGCTTGGTTGTCTGCCAAGTTAGGCTCCTTGGCTTTGAACGGTATATCCATGGTATAATGTCCATCCACTACCAGTTTGGATTCATCCCAAATCTGCAAAGCCTTGCGATCACTGATCGACATCCCGGGCTCTTCAGAGTTCGCATCCTCGAGGGCCCAAAGACTATCCAGGTCTTTCTCCAGTGATGTCCGCTCTTGTATAAAGTGAGATGATCTGATGGTTGGACCAAATGGGTCAACAGGACCATTTATCACCCACCCCAATGGCGTGCGAATCGCGAAAGGTTCCCCAGATCTGCCCTTTTTCACTTCTTCAGGCATTAGAAGATCTGAGCAATCCTGCCCAATCAGTAGGTGTACCTGGTCTACATCAAGCTCAGGTATATCCAGGTTTCGAAGATGTGGCCAGCGTTCAAGGTCGACTTGGCTGCTTAGGCTCGAAAGGTCGATATTCAGCGTCGGCCTAACTGTCACCTCGGGTATACATCTTGGTGATTCAGTCTCATTCAGGTCTGAGACTAATAAGGTTATGACAGTGGAGTCCATTTGTACTCTTGCCTGTGCAATGGTTGTGAGTTCCAAGTGACGAACAGCTCCCTTTGCCCCAACACTATTGCACAGAGCCTCTGTACAGTATGTGGCATTTGTCCCAGGATCCAGCATGGCATAGGTGTCTACATAGCGGTTAGAGTCCAGACACCGGACTCTTGCAGGTACAATAGGCAGGGCTAACTTGCCTCCTTGGGCTCGGACAAAGTTGCTGACTTGGTTCCTGGGGGGTGCCACTGACATCTGAGCAGGAATGGCTGGTGTTAATGGCAAGTTCTGTGATGTGTTTGGGTTGTAGGTTCGAACAGGTGTCCCTCCCTCATCAGAGTCAGGTCTTCTCGCCGGAATGTGAAGGAACTTACTGTGTTTTTGACCACAGCCCTCCACAGCACAAGTAAATGGTCGAGGGCAATCTCTGCCGTAGTGTCCGGGTCTAAAACAGTTTACACACAGACCCTTGGATAGAATGAAGGCCCGTCGGTCCTTTATCCTGAGCGATTTAAACGTCATACATTGTGTCAAGTAATGGGCTTGTCCACAGTGCAAACAAGGTTCAACACTTCTTGTTTTACCAGGTTCAAAGTTGGATTTGGGCGCTGGTGATGCCTGTATAGCAAAGCTGCCAGCTCGCCTCTTGTCTCCCTTGGGTTTGCTAAGCCTACCATTTTCCGGCTTGATGTCTTTGAAGATTACCTTTCCAAACACGGGGTCGGATGCTTCATCAGCAGCCAAACCAGTAAACTTCACCAGATCACTCAACTGTGCATTTCGGATTTTTCTGACCTTTATGTTGTGGTTCTCTCTAAGCCATCGAGTCTGCAGATGATATGGTAGCTTTTCTACAATTGCCAGCATGCTGTGGGAGTTGTCCATCTCAGCTGCATAACCCATTGTCTCCAGGGTCTCTTGACAGCATCTCAAGTCATCTGCAAACTCTCTCAGAGCAACAGTGCCTTTCACATTAGGTCGACTTATGATTTTCTTTATCCATTCTTGGGCGATGACAAAGTTATTGCCAAACCTCTCCTCCAGGAGATGCAATGCAAGTCTATAACCATCTGCGGGTTCTTTAACTAGGCAGCATTGGAGTAGACTCTTAGCACGCCCCCTGCAGTACTGCATCAAACAGGTTAATTTTGTTCCAGGGTCAGCCGACTTATTGTCCACAGTGTGTTTGAATGCTCTAATGAATGGCCAATAATCCAACGGGTTTCCATCAAAGGTCTGTAATTCGCTTCGTGGCAGCTGTAAGGTGTCAACCAACGATTGTTGTTGGGATCTTGATTCATTTAGTACCTGGTGTAGTACTTCTGCCAAGGCGGAGGTGGCTTGCGTCTCCATGTTAATATGTGATGACTCCCAGGATAACCTAGGAGGCTTATCATGGTCTGCGCGTGGTGTGCTTTCAGTATAGAGCGATTTCCCATCAATCTCGGGCTGTCTCGGTTTATGCATTGGGTTTTGCCGCGTTGGCATGGTGAGACCTGTGCCTTCAAACTGTGGATTGTCCTCCAAGGGTTTGCTATGAAGCTGCAGTTTAGCCTGCAATTCCTGCCTCTCGCTAATCAGGCGTAACCGTCCTCTCTGCCTCTCGATCTCAAGTCGTCCTTTCGTTCTTTCCAACTCATACGCTTGCTGATCAATTTCCATTAGTAGGTTGTGTTTTTCCATTTCTAAGCCCTGTTGTTTGCGCAGCGCAATAATCTCCTGCTGCAAGGACTCATTTTTAGCTTCAGTGGTTGACCTACTATGTCGTGGTGAAGGGGAATTATCCAGCTCCAGGGCTCCAGACTCCGAATAACCTACTGTGGGTTCATCGTCTTCAATCTCCACAATCCAAGCATAGATTGTGCCCAGGTAGCTTGATGCTTGATCCACAACATTTGCTCGATATAATTCCGCTTCAGTTTGATCTGCTTCAGATGACAGGAAACTCACATATAGTGCGTTTGCTTCTTCAAACCTAGTTAGTTGCCTTTGGAATGTTTCTATTCTTTCCTTTACTTGGTATAGATTTTTTATATCCTTTGTCAGCAGATCTATGACCCCCATGCTCTGGGTGATCTGCAGCCGGATATCCGCGCGAAGCGCTCAAACGGCGCCTAGC